TGCAGCTCACATGTGCAACAAGTGCTCATGCAGTCCAAAAACATGATACTCCCACCACCATGCTTGACTGTTAGACCACATGATGTGTTTCCAATGATCCATGTCCTTAGTCTGCGTGTTTCCAGCTAACTCTCTTCTTTGGAGGACACAGCTGCTGACCTGATTGATTCAGTGTGCTGAGTATTTCCTGAGGCTGAAACATTTAACCTGTGCAGCCATGCACAGAAAACAGCCTCAGAGTGTGACCCTGAGCGCGTGCAATCAAAGTCAATGTTATTAGTTTCATATCTTCACTGCTGACCCGCGAAAAGATCAAATATTTACACAAATAAGTAAATGAATCAAAGTGTCCATTCTGATGATTCAACAGCACCTCCATGTAGTGAAGCCACTGCAGCCTGAGCTGCCTCCTGATTCCTGGAGACCACCGCTACCCTGCAGCCCCTCTCTGCCAGCAGGCGGGACACAACCTCCCCAATCCCCCTGGAGCCTCCGCAAACCACCGCCAGCCTGGACATGGTCCTTCAGGAGAGGACACAGTTCCACGAGTTCAACAAAGGTTTGAATGTTTAACCTTTTAAAACCTTCGCATATTTCTTATTAACAACACCTTCGACCTAAAGCTGGATCTTACCTGTTTATTTCTTCTGTTAAACTTGGTTTACCTGCATTGGCAGAATAAGGTGCGAGCTGAGAATGATCCTGGATCTGACAGCATGGACGCCGCCATGTTTGTTTATACACTTCTCACGTTCGGCCAGCAGAGGGCGCTGTCCACTCACTTTCTGGGGGAAAAGTTTGTTTCTAATCATATTTTCATGTGACCTTCATTCATATTTCTTTTATTTGAGGTTAAACTTTGCAGGAAAGCTTGTCATTGTTTTTATAACAGTATCTTTAAACTATTTGTCTCTAAATTGTGTTGGATTCATATTCATATACATATTCTCTATAGAATACAAAGCTATGAATTTCCAAACTGCAAAAATATATATAATAATAATAATATAACAAATCCAGCGGTGGTTATATTGTCACTTCACAATCGCAAACGTAATCTATTTTTATTTTATGTGATATTCACTAGGAGTTATATAATAGGAATTAAAATTAAAATCATAGAACTTTACTTTTCAAATAGAATAAACATGTGACAAGTTTGTGCATTTTGTTCAATCATATTTCTCTAAAAGGGCATAAGATAGAATTAAACTTCAGTTTCCTAATAGTTACCTATGTAGTGACGTCAGAACACCAGAGAACAAACAGCCTGATGGACGACCAATAATACAGCAGACAGGTCAGAGGGCAGCAGAGAAGCACACAGCAGAGTTAGGTTATGAAACAATAAAGCTTTTTTTTTAATAACTCACAGAGCTCTGTTCAGGTTGTTATCGTAAAGAGAATGAGGAAAAAATGTCAACCTTAAACTGATTAGGGCTGCAACTTACAGTTATTTAGTATTTCAGTAAATTTCTTAATCATTTTTAAATGGCCTGTACTTATATAGCACTTTTTTT